CAATGACTATGGGGTTATGGGGTATATGTGACTTTTGACTGGATGTGGTGCTTGAAGGGGACATTGATGTCATGCAAGGAGCTGATGGGAATTTTCTTTCAGCCCCTGGGAAAGAAAGAGGAAGTTGTGTTCAAGGAGAAAAGAGGAAGTGGCCTTATGAGTAAGTATCCCTGATTTCATATTCTTCCACCTTGAACTACAACCATGAGGTCCTGTAATTGTTTGAAGGGCAAAGCTCTTTCAAGTACATCCTTTGGTTTGAATGAAGAAATCAAAACAAAGAATTTTTGCTATCTGTCTTCCTCCATGGCTGTTGGTAAACCATTCATAAGAAATATTTTGAGTCAGTTCCTTAATGCATTTTCAATACCATAACCAAAATTACAGATCACTTCAGTTTCAGAAAAAGAAGCAGCACTTAAAGGCAGGGATAAAAGCCTTCAATGCAAATATCCATGGCATGGTGAGATCAACAATGTGTGATACACACTACTGGATTTCTCTGACTTCAGGAAAGAGAAAAGTTTATACTGATATTGATATACTGGAATGAATCTCCCTGTCTACTATGTCTGATATTAGGTTTTTGTCCTGTAAAGTCCAAGAATGAATTTTAGGAACAACAGAAATTAAGAGAAGAATATACTTATTGAGAGAAAAAATGTTGCCTGAGAGAGAGAAGGTATCCTGAGCAGGTTGCCAAACACTGTGCATTCTAGGGACCTTTATAGAGTAAAATCATGTGGTGAAGTGAGTTTAAGGTGGGGGAAACTAAGAAATCACAATGCAGATGGGCATAAGATGGGACAGAGTTATGGTAGCCAATAAGATTATAAGTCCAGGTAAAGTTGATTAAATTGGGAACAAAGGGGGAAGGGAGTCACATAGAAAGCAGGCATTCTTAGGCAGCTGTATCTCTTCCCTTAGAGGTTTGGGAGGGTGACTCCTGAGTTCCTCAGGATGATAGGAACTATTTAGAATGTCAGTCTTTAGGATAAGGATACATTTCTTTAAATGGTGACTCCTGACTTCCTCAGAGTGCTAGGGAACTATTTAGAATATCAATCCTTAGGATATGGATGAATTTGCTTATCATTTGTCTTGGGCCTTGGCCCATAGCATGAGGTGTCAGTCTTCCCCATAGTTGCAAGGTATCTGGTCTCCTGCATGGGCTCCTTGGGGGACCTATCCATGTCTTATGCCAATAGTATTTAAATAACTCACGTCCCTGTAACAGTACTGTTTGGAAAATTGAGTACAGATGTCTTGTGCTTTGGGTGAATGATCTGGGGATGACAATGTGCAATGTATATACCATTGTTGCCCCCTGATTGATATGTTTTGAAATTTAATTTTAGTTGATGTGTTCTTTTTTCTTTGAAATAAAATGGATTTAAAAGTTAAAAGTCTGAGGTAAAGCTCTTCAATACAAACACTCCTCTGTCGAGCTGAGTTCACCACTGTAGAAGAATGGCAGCTCCAGAAGTCTCTGCACTACAGTCTATCTTTTGGGATCCTCTCTTGCAGGGAGTGGTTCCTTTCTCTGTTTATTCTTGACTCAGAAGGAGGTTAATAGAGCAGGAGTCAATCAGTGATGAAGGGGCAGGCTATATGAACTGTCCAATGAGGTGGGCCATTGCTGGCTGTGACTTCTGTCTGTTCTGGTGTCTCAGCATGATTTACCTGTTCTGAGTACAACACTGGTAGCAAAATGCTTGCTGGATCTCATTTAATACTTTTGATGTCCTGTAGCCTGATTAGCAAAGAACCTGAGAGATCCTGGATCCATGGAATAGTGAGGTTGTGGATAGTAGCCCAGAAATAGGATGGATTGGGCAAAACCAGTTCCAAGTGTTTAGGAGTAGTTCCGGTGTTGGTAGCCTCAGGTATTTAGTTATCTTCAGCTCCTGAGGTCCTCCAGCTTTGGCCATGGGTCATTCACTATCCCTTTTGCCTCTTGCCGTTGGCAAGGGTAATTTGGGGTCACCAGAACCCTGGCTTCACTATGATAGCAGCAGACACAAGTATTATCTTTGAAATTCACTGCTAGCCTGGTAAGTCCACCATCTTAGGCACTGGGAGGAGCTTGGGAAGACCCTGACTATGATGCTTTTGTAGCTTGTAGAGCAGTAATGAGCTAGGTCTATGCTCTCTTTCCTCAGAGCAGCTGATCTGGAATGTCCAGAGTTTATTAATGTATGTAATGCAGGGCCTCATAGCCACAATGGCTCAACTTAAACTTGGGCTTTTTTGTATTTATAGTGATCTCCTAAATTTATAGTATGTTCTCCTATTTCTATCCTCATGACAGGTAGTGACAAAGGTCCTGAGAATTCAGAGATATGTAGTAGTGTGCCTCAGTGGAGAAAGGCTTCCCAAACAATTGGTGAACTCCTGTGTATTCTTGAACATTTCAAAATAATTTCTGAACATACTTAGTTATTTAGGTGTCACCCATACTCACAGACTAGGTTTGTGAAAACAGCCATAGAGTTTTGAAGTCTGAGAAAAATGAAGCAAATATGAAAGTGTTATCAAAGAGAGGGTAAAAATTTGTGAAGGAGAAATTCCAGAAAGGGCTACCTGTTAAATTCTCATCGGAAAATGCCAAAATTTAGGCATTTGCATGGACATATACATGTGATATCCTTCTGAATGGAAAGGAATAGAGGTGTCATCTCTGAATTAAGAGCTGGTTTAGTAGCTTGGGTGTTAATAGACAGTTTAAATATGGAAATTCTCTACAATGAACATACCAAACTGGTGTAAATGAGAAGCCCCAAATAGAAATTTTGCAATGATATCAATAGTTAGGCATGAAGTGTTTTCTGTTTGGATGGATCAGAGGAGTGTGGAAAAGATGTGGAAGTGACTGACAGGATGCAGGCAGCAAATAGCAGGACATACAACAGAGAGCGTCTTCACTGAAAGTCAGGTAGTTTTTAGAGTAAGTATGAAGTAAAGTTGGGTTCTGATTGCTTCATTGAGGTGATCAACACCAGCTCTGGCAACAATCAGTATTCCACATCCCTGTCAACACATGATTTTTGTATTCCATACTTGAGATCTAATTTGATTATCTCTAATTATGCCCCAGTGTCATGAAGGTGAAATTTTCAATTTTTTTGTACCAAGGATCAAATGAATGACCTACGCTTTCCAGGCAGTCCTTCATGCCACTGAGCTCAATACCCAACTAGGAAAGTGTTTTCTGTGTAGTATGGAAGAGATCCACATTGTTTCTCAGAAAGTGTTGAATATTGTTGGAATTTTTCTGTATTGTATGGCTATAATTTTTTAAAAACAAACCAAAGGTGTCTTATGCAGTCTCTTTTTAAGTTTCACTTTGTCTGTTCGGTGTCTCAATCAGGGTTTGTCTATTTTAGACAGCTCTGTAACTTAGGATAGCCCCAAATTCAAGGAAGAAATCCTTCACCAGCATCCCAAGATAGATTTCTTATATTTGAATTGAAAGTGATCACTTGGTGACAGTGTGGTATAATTTACAGCTTGGGCCTGGTTTCATTTTATATACATATTTTTAAAATACAGCTGTTTTTCCCTAACACTTGAGTTATTATTTATATACCATATTTGATGTTATTTATGTTTTGTTCTATGAATCCAAATTAATGTTTCAAAATGCTGCTTAAGTATATTAAGAACAAAGTACTCATTGGCCTAAATGAGATTTGAAGAGACATCATCTGTAGTCTATCAAAGTGATTGATTAGATTTTTAATTTAATTTTGCAATTGGTAAAATACAACAGAACAAGGCAGCATAAGGTCAACTAAGGTCATACAGTGAAGTTGGTGCACAACTTCACAACGGGTTACTGGGATAACAGTAATAGGTATCACAGTATATTTTGTTATCTTTGTAATAGTTGTTCCTTAATCACATATATCAAAATGAGATGAAATACAGAACATTATAGAACTTATCAAAACAAAATATTGAATAGAGCAATACTATTAATCAGAATAGAGTGAAACAATAATAAAACCATTTTCCTTCAAAGAGATAGTAGAAGGAAGTCCCCCTTATTTGCTATGGTTTATTTCCCAGGAGGCACTTAGATTTCTGGTTCCAATTTGCTAATGGGGGGTGACAGAAGAAGAGGGGTAGGGAAGTGGGATGTTTGATTCTAGGTGGTGCATCAGTAGGTTCACTATTGCTTAGTAGGGAGACAGGCTGGTTGTTTCGTTTCACAGCATCCTAAGTTCCAACATAGCATGGATCTCAGGAGCTGCTGTTGGTTCTCCCCCTGGAAGGGCTGCAGTCTGACAGACTGCCACTGCTTACCAGGGAGAAGTGGTGCTTGACTGGCTTCCCAGTGTCCTAAATTCCAGCATGGGATGGATCTCAGGAGCTTCTGCTTGTTTTCCCCTTGGAAGGGCTTCAATTTGCCAAACCACCACCGCTGACCTGGGAGGGAAGGTGCTTGCTTGGCTTTCCAGTCAACTGGTGGGATATTTATCTGCCTCTGTGCTTTGTGGTTGCTGGTCCTGTAGGCTTGTTACTGTGAGCTCTGCTTTAGAGACAGTGCACGAGGAATCTTGCCATGATTCAGCACAAGAATCAGTGTTCCTATTTGGCTGTTACATTTGCAGAGAGTTGCAATCTAGCATCAAATTTGCTGTCTTCAAAAATGTGTATATACACAAAATTACTGACCAAGACATGGATTAAAATTTGAAGAAATCAGTCTTCATTCAGCTGTTTTGTTTGGTTTTAGTTGTTTAGTTTAGTTTTGTTTTATTGAGACAAGCTTTCTGTATGTATATCAGATGGATTTGAACACCCTATGGAGCCTAGAATTGCCCTGACCTCATTGATGCCATCCTGTCTCAGCCTTTTGAGTGCTGGGATTATAGATATGCACCACCACACTTTGCTTTTGATTCAGATTTCTAGGAGAGAATTTAAGATATCCCAAACCTGGGGTCTCAACCTTCCATTGAGAAATATATTTATGATCCTTTAGGAGGTGGTGACCTTTGAGGATGTGGCTGTGAACTTCAGCAATGAGGAGTGGACTTTGCTGAGTCCATCCCAAAAGAAGCTCTACAGAGATGTGATGGGTGAAACCTTTAGGAACATGACTATGATAGGTAAGGATGCAATCTTTTTGTCACTCATGCTGTCAGAATATTGTTTGTTGCTCATTAGTGCTGTTTCATGAAAAAGAATATGAAAACATTTTAAAAAATATCTCACACCTGGACAGATTATATCATAAATCTAAACAAAACCTATTAATTTGTATGTATTACTTTAAGAGTCCTGGTATTTCTATGTCTACAATTCAGGTGGACTCGGGGATATCCAGGAAGCTGAAAAAGAAGGCAAAATTTACTGGAGTTACTTAAGGTAATTCATACACACAAGTATAGGAATGAGTAATTAGTGAGTCAGCAGAAAAATGACCGCCAAAGAAATGAGGCACCATTCAATTTAGTGTCAGTAATATTCTCCGAAGATGTATAAGCTGGTGTATATATGAGGGAATTAAATCATGAAAATGTATGACATTGCATATAGATGAGTATGAAAAGAACACATTTTGAGTTATTACATTCTGCCTTCAGTTTTTCTACCCATGACTACATGTGAATATAACACATTCATTATCTAACAATTGCTAAGTTTGCAATAGAATTTGAAATAAAACTGAGTGTTCATGTTTCCCAGCCATTCTCTAGAGAATCAGCCATTCTGATTAATATTCTTAGTAGGCTGATGGAATGTTAGTGCACTCATTTTGAATATCAATATGCAGTTGTCTCTAGAAATTGATCCCCTCGTACTTGTCCTGGATATTTTTAAAATCTCAAATCTGCATAAAATACTGATACATACTTACTCATATACAAAGCAGATCAAGTTATAACAGATCAGGCCTTGAGGCTTAGCTATCTATCACTGGATTTGTGGAGAAGGAAAATGTTAATAGACTCTCTGTGATTATGCATTTCTGTAAACCCAACACACTAGGAATCGGATTTTGCAGAATGGCAAATTCAAGTTCAAACTTCACAGCTTAATGATCAGTGAGAATCTCTTAAAATAGATTTTTAAAAAGCTACAGATTTTATGCTAATACGTGTTGTTAATTCCCAGCCCAGAAAAGAAAAAAATGTGTTATATAATGTCAAAAAATAAATAATATAATGTCATTTGCCATAAGAAATAGATGGGTCTTTCACCCATCAATTCAGTGAAATAGCTCAGCTATAAAACCTAAAAGGTCACAGGGTTTCTTTTAGATGAGACACCAAAATATAAATTGTGGAATGAAATGAAAGACAGTTTATAGATAAAAGTAAGACTGAACATATGGAAAAGGGAACTACAGGTTAAGGACAGAAGGGAGATTGGAATGGGGAAACATATCAGAATAATCCATATGTGATACACATATGTGCCCATGCCCAAAGTGAAGCTAAAGATTCTGCATTTCAAAGTACCAACTTTTAAGATTTCTAAATGTGTGCCAGTCTTTTGGGAATGGTTGTTTTCAACATATCTTACAAGGCCATTCTGTTGCTTCATAGTCAGACTTTCTTAGCAGGCATTAAAAACAGAACTTGACATTAATGCAGTCATTAAACAGAGACCCATTTCACTGTGAATTTTTCTTTTTTAAATTTATATAAGGAAAGTTTAAACAAAACAAAATAAGTAGAAATAATGCTACTTTCAAAGTGAAAATAAACAGTGAGAAATCGCAAGATGATGATTACATATGCTGCTCATGGAAATAGTTATGAAATACAAAAGTGAAACATATGAAGTGGGGATTCAAACAGCGAGATTGCAAAAACTTAGTAATATGGTTATAAATCTTATATGTGATTGGTTTCTTTACAGAAAGCTAGGGAAATCCTATGGACATACATCTTGGAATCAGTGTAAAGAAGCCTTCCTTGGTACTGAAGAAGGTAATGTGAATGTGAAAGAAACAGAAACACATGACAATGTTCAGATTCATGAAAAATATTGCAGTGGAGGGAAACCCTATGTATGCAAGCAATGCAGGAAAGGTTTTACCACACATGGAATTTGTAAGAAACATGAAAGAATTCACAGAGGAAAGAGACCCTACATATGTGATCAGTGTGGGAAAGCTTTTACAGCACGTACATATTGTCAAGTACATGAAAGACTTCACTCTGGAGAAAAACATTATGAATGTAAGCACTGTGAGAAAGCTTTCAGCACATGTACTTATTGTGTAATCCATGAAAAAATTCACACTGGGCAGAAATCGCATATATGTAAGAAATGTGGGAAAGCTTTTAGCAGGAAAATTCATTTTCAAATACATGAAAATGTTCACACTGGAGAGAGAAACCCTATGTGTGTAAGCAATGTGGAAAAGGTTTCACCCAAGTTGGACATTGTAAGGAACATGAAAGAATTCACACTGGAGAGAAACCTTATGTATGTAAGCAATGTGGGAAAGCTTTTACCCGACACGGATATTGTAAGAAACATGAAAGATTTCACACTGGAGAGAAACCCTATGTATGTAAGCAATGTGGGAAAGATTTTAAAACACAGGGAGTTTGTAAGATACATGAAAGAATTCACACTGGAGAGAAACCATATGTATGTAAGCAATGTGGGAAAGCTTTTAAAACACAGGGAGATTGTAAGATACATGAAAGAATTCACACTGGAGAGAAACCATATGTATGTAAGCAATGTGGGAAAGCTTTTAAAACACAGGGAGATTGTAAGAAACATGAAAGAATTCACACTGGAGAGAAACCGTATGTATGTAAGCAATGTGGGAAAGCTTTTAACAGACAGGAAGGTTGTAAGAGACATGAAAGAATTCACACTGGAGAGAAACCATATGTATGTAAGCAATGTGGGAAAGCTTTTACCACTAATGCAAAGTGTAACGAACACGAAAGAATTCACACAGGAGAGAAACCATATGTGTGTAAGCAATGTGGGAAAGCTTTTAAAACACGTGCATATTTTAAGGTTCATGAAAGAATTCACACTGGAAAGAAACCATATGTATGTAAGCAATGTGGGAAAGCTTTTAAAACACAGGGATATTGTAAGAAACATGAAAGAATTCACACTGGAGAGAAACCATATGTATGTAAGCAATGTGGGAAAGCTTTTAACAGACAGGAAGGTTGTAAGAGACATGAAAGAATTCACACTGGAGAGAAACCATATGTATGTAAGCAATGTGGGAAAGCTTTTACCACTCATGCAAATTGTAACGAACACGAAAGAATTCACACAGGAGAGAAACCATATGTGTGTAAGCAATGTGGGAAAGCTTTTAAAACACGTGCATATTTTAAGGTTCATGAAAGAATTCACACTGGAGAGAAACCCTATGTATGTAAGCAATGTGGGAAAGCTTTTAGCACATGGGGAGATTGTAAGAAACATGAAAGAATTCACACTGGAGAGAAACCCTATGTATGTAAGCAATGTGGGAAAGCTTTTAGCACATCGGGAGATTGTAAGAAACATGAAAGAATTCACACTGGAGACAAACTCTTATGTATGTAAATAATGTGGGAAAGCTTTTAAAATGTAGTGAGATTGTAAGAAACATGAAAGAATTCACAATGGAGAGAAACCCTATGTATGTAAGCAATATGGGAAAGGTTTTACCAACTCTGGACATTGTAAGCAACATGAAAGAATTCACACTGGAGAGAAACCATATGTATGTAAGCAATGTGGGAAAGTTTTTACCCAACATGGACATTGTAAGCAACATGAAAGTTCACACTCAAGATAAAACCAGTGTATATAAGAATCATGAGAATGGTTTGAGCACACGTATATATTGCATAATGTAAGAAAATCTTCACACTGGGCAGAAAACTTATATATGTAAGGAATGTGGGGTAGGTTTCAGCAGAAATGCTCATCGTGCAATACATTATAAAATTTAGACTGTTGAGAAACCATGTGTACATGAAGAATGTGGGAAAGCTTTCACCAAACATGGATATTGTAAAATACATCCATGACTTCACATTGGTGAGAAACCCTGTTTATATAACAATGTGGCAAAGCTTTTACCACATACAGTCACTGTAAAACACATGAAAGAATTCACACTGGGAAAAACCACTGGCTATGTAAGCAAGTGGAGACACTTTCAGCAGCCAGATTATAAGTGAAATACATGAAAAAACTCACCCAAGAGATAAATCTTATGTGTTATGAGAATACTCTCAGCATACTTGATCATTGTTACATATCTGAAAGAGCTCACTGGGCAGAGATCCTATGTGGATTAACCATGTGAGAAATACAGCAATCCATGTTTCTTGTTAAATACATAGAAAAAGTGTCACTGTTCAGACAGTTTAGATCTAAATTTACTTTAAAAATCACAGGGAGACCTGAAGAAATAATCAATACAGAAGTTAGATGTCAATATATCTTCACAAATATTCCAGAAATGACAAACCTGAGGTGGAGCTCTCCTTAGGTGCACATGTTGTATGGTTCTCAGTTAATCACTTGTACCTCTCTAGATTTTTTAAAGTGTCTTTGTGTTTCAACATGGCATCTTTAATTAAACATGCTAAACTGAAATGGGCTTTTCACTTTGAAGTATGGATAGTGTCTATGTACTTAATATTTTTCTGTAAAACTTAAATTTTATATTTTTTGGTGAATTGTAATGTTGTTTATTTAAAGAGAAAAAAGAAAACGTGTAGAAATAATACAGAATTTCAGAAAAATAAACCATAAGAAATCACTAGTTGATTAGTTAAATATTGTCATCTTAGAAATAGTTGTTCAAGTAACAAAATTAAAGCATACAAAGTGATATTCAAATAATGACACTGTCAACAGTTCACCTCAATGATCCAACAAAAAGTTACTAGTATGCTTATCTGTCCTGCATACTTTTTTTTTCTTAAAGAGGGTAAGATTAAACATGACAAAACCGAACAGAACAGTTCATAAGGAAACAAGTTAAGCAAACAGATTTCAAAGCAAGTCCACTGTAGATGTTCACTGTCTATGTTACTGTCTCTAGTTTTCTTCCAAATAGTTGTTCTCATCTTCACACACATTGAATATATACCAAACATTATAGAACTAATCAAATAGTTACAGGGTGATGCAGGCTTTTTCGGTCTTCAAGACTGATTTTGGGGAAATCGGTAATGACTACCATAATGTCTCTTATTCTCTTCATAGTAGCTGTCATTATCTTTATGTATGCTGAAATTTAACATAAGAGACTAGACTAATATCACTGAACAGTGAATAATAGTATCCTGAGAAGGAGAAAGGTGAGGAATTTTCTAAAAAAAGAAGGCAGAGGACATTGATAAAAGTGTATCAGGATTTAAAATATACAGTAGTCTTGTTGCTCTATTTTGTTTGGTTATATCTTGTTCTGGTCTGTCTACACACATTAGATTTGAGGGCACAGAGAGATAACCCAAAAATAGCAGGTTATACCATGGTAACTATCCTTAATTTTCTATTAACTAAAACTGAAACCCTATATTACTTACATTGTCTTCTATGACTGATCTTTGAAGCTGGTTTGTTTGAATGTTATTTGGCCTTGACTGATTTTATTCACCTTTGGTATGCTTGCTAGTATCAAGTTCAAGAGAAGAGGCAACTACTGTAAAGATGACAAGATGTAAAAGATATCCATTGGTGGGCTGTGGGATTTAGCTCAGTGGCTTAAGCACCTGCCTGGCAAGTGTGAGGTCATGAGTTTGGTCTCCAGTGCCAAATAAATATATAAATAAATAAATAAATAAAAGATATCCATTCCAGGTTTGATTATTTTTAATTAAAGAGAACAAAGATAGGAAATAAAAAACAAAGCAGTAAAAGGGTACAAGTAATACAGAATTTCCAGAAAAAATTCAATAAGAATTCACTAGTTAATAGGTTACATCTTGTCATCTTAGAAGCAGTTGTCAAATTATAAAATTAAAGAGGGTAAGATTAAACATGACAAAACAAGCAAGTCCACTGTAGATGTTCACTGTCTATGTTACTGTCTCTAGTTTTCTTCCAAATAGTTGTTCCCATCTTCACACACATTGAATATATAAAGTGGACATTCATACAGTGAGATTGCAGAAAGTTCTGTTCAATGATCCAACAAAAGCTCAGTAATACGGTTTTCCATCCTACACACTCAAGCATGCAGTTATATCCCTTAGACCACCTTCCTTTCCTGTTTTTTACAATAACAATTACACTTTTTGAGTTTTTTTACTCCCACAGTTCTTATTACATTTTTTTGAAGAGAATAAGTCCTAACATGACTAAATAAAACAGAGTCAGTTAGAACAGAAGGGTGGGCATAGGACATGATGCAAAAATAGATTATCAGATGATCAAAAATGGTTACCATTGTTCCTCTTGCTATTTTTAAAAAGAGTTGCCTATAATAGAATGGATCAAAACAGTACAGAACAAGACCTCTTTTTCAGAGTCTCTTTTTCCAGCAAGGAGCACTTGAATCTTCCTGTGCTCAGGCCAAGCAGGGAGTGTGCAGCATGCAGAGGAGCCAGCACCTCCTGCCTTACACCCTTTTCCACCACCGCATCCATGCTGCAGCCCTGCAGGCCCAATAAGGCAGAGCCATGAGGATGCAGAAAATACTCTGCCACCTCAGCCCCAGGGGCCTCAACTCATGGGTCCTGGCCTCAGCCTCCAACAGGGTCCTGGCTCTGCCATGGATTGGACATTCATAGTGGGCCAGACACACCATCAGTGCCTTGGGGCAAAGTCCATTTTCCACAGTGACCCTTCCATTTCTGCAAATTTTGATCCTTTTCTTTCTAAATGAGGCAGAGGCATTGGAGACAAAACACCACACATTGGCATTACTTTTTGGTTTTCTTTCTTTTCTTTCTTTCTTCTTCTTCTTCTCCTCCTCCTCCTCCTCCTCCTTCTTCTTCCACTTCATCTTTGTCTTCTTGGTTTCTTTGATGCTTCAAATACATATTTAGAGGTGTATTTTGCCAAAAAACATTTCTTGTCTTTTTACACCCTAGTTAACTGAAGTTTTTACAGACTTCTACTGCAATTCACACCCTATGTGTTTGAACAGTCAGAATCCATTCTGCAGCTTAGTAGAATGAGTGAAGCAAAGCAGAAAGTGAACTTGGGGATGTTACTGCGCCTTCCAACACTCGGACTCATATCTTTTTACCTCAAAAATATGGGCTTCTGGAGCAGCTGAGTCTGGCACAGACAAAATGAGTTTCCTGCATTTATATCAGATAATTTCATTTCCTCTCAAGCTGGCACAGAAAGAAACACCTCAAAATTGTCAACCAACAGCAGCAGCAA